AACGATTACAGTGGATGGGATGAGGAGCTGGAACGCCAGCCTTCACGACACGCAGTAGCAAAGAAAGCAGCTCGATGTCGAGTCAACAGCTAGAAATGCGAAGTTTACGCGATGTAGCACCGCTGTGTCCTAATCGGCGACCCTTGCATGCATCATGTACCTTTCAATTAAGCACATTCTGGATAGTACCGAATGCACGGAGCATACTGAAGGGATTGCTACGTAGCGACTTCCTTCCTCTATAAACAATGACAGAATTGTTATTGTTACTGTTAATTGCACGGGTGACAGTCCATGCGGCTGAGGAAATCATTCGCAACTGAGTTGAAGACTGAAGATAAGCTAAACTTTCAGGAAGCTTCACTAGAAAATCAGGTGGTGCAAGCGAACCCGGCCATTGAGGCTTTTGGTAACGGAGCGACAGTAAGGTGAGTTCAATTTTTGAGCAGGAAAGATAAATTAAATGAGAAATAATCCGATATTACGGATTTGGCATGACCTCGATTATTTAGTCAAAAGGGTACAACACCTATGTGAATCCTCTCTGAAATGCGCCAAACACTTCACCTCGCTCTTGATGTTTTGAGGCATTTTGGATGTAAACGGGCCAAGGGCATAGATTCTAGGCGCCAGTTTAATTTCTAGACCTCATAAATATTATAGTGAGTTTGTGTGTGGACAGGGATGGGACAGAGGAAGAAAGCCGCATATACCTTCTGCGAGTTACCGAGTTTTTGTTTATGGAATCCCGATCCGATCAAAGACGAGTCCCATCCATCTTGGAACAAGTCGCTACCGTGTCCATCTGAGAGGACACCGACCCCGCACAAAATTAGTGCTTGTTGTTGGGCCAAATACGCACTGCACTAGTAATTCCATTCCACACTGAAGTCTAATGCGCGGTGCATACTGAGAAAGGACTGATCAGTCCAAAACTTTATCCCTTTGTTCAGCTCGCTATCCCTTCTTTTATTTCAGGAACTATAACTCATCAAGGTACGGCAAATTTGTTCGAATTCACTTCGACAAGCGCGGTAAACTGGTTGGAGGAGACATTGAACACTGTAAGATTTTGCTAGCGATTTTAAGTAGTTCTTTCGAGGTTCTGTGAAATGAGACCTTCTCAGAAGCATTGGGGTGCAAGCCCTTTCCCAAAGTCAGCCGAGGCGATAATCTAAAGAGCCACGCAGTGAGCATCTCGTCATGGACAACTGAAGAGCGCTTGGGCTTACTGAAAACAATCTCCTTTATCTCCCTCATTATTACTCACTTGGACCGCTTGTGCAGCAGTCTGCCAATTATCCGCTCAGCTTGAAAGAATTCCAGTCTCTTCTACACTTCTTCCTCAAGATATGGTCGATAGTTTTGCTAAGCAAAATACATCGCCGTGACATACACTGCTATTTGTAGCTTTTGTTGTAGTTCCCCCATCATACATAGGGACCGATCGATATTTGAGAGATTGCATTCCAGATCTGCTCGAAAAATCTCGTGTGATCAAACAAGCTCCTGGTGAACGATCCTACCATATATTCTACCAGATCTTCACGCAGAAAAAGCTCCGTGGTATGAACTTTTTACATATTGATATTACTTCAATACATTGTTGGTATTATATATTTTATTATACCGGAACTGACGTGTTGCTTTCTTTGTTTCAACTTCATGATTGAGTTTTATTGAGTTCTAGCCCCCTTTACATTTACTTATGGTTAGTAGGGAGTGACTGAAGGTAACGCGGCTCAGCGCGAGGATCCGAACCCAACCGGATAAAATAGGCCTCGCAGCCAGCTGACGAACTCGTCTGGGAGAAAAAAAACATTGTCTCAACTGGTGGCAACACAGCTAGAAGGGTACCAAAAATCAACCCCGTGCTGTGGAGATGTGAACGCTTCGTTTGTCATTTGTCAATGGGCATTCCACACCTTGACGGCATTTGCAACGACATGGTCCTACCACATATTGTAGGCGGTATGCTAACTGTAAGAAAAAGGGGCCAAATTGTGCCCCGTTGCGCCTGATGCATTCATCGCCGCTGCATCTGATTTAAAATAGACCGTCATCGGCATAGAGAAACGTCTAGACAGAAGCTGGCAGATAACATGAACGCGGACATGAAGGCGGTCAGTCTGCGTATAGATGACAAAGGGGCCATCATCGACCCGGAAAACGGACCCTGGAGTGGTGGGCAACGCTAAGAAAGTTCGGAAGAGGTAAACAGCTTTGCAAAAATAACTGCGTGTGCCAGGGAGGCAAATGTTCCAATAATTCTGAATAGAAGCTCAGCTGGTGTCTGGG